AATTTTTCACTTTGCAGTCTTCCGATTTTCCAATTTCTTTAATTTTAAATATTTCTATTCCATAATACATATTTCTTTTTTTTTGGTTTTCACTTTTTTGATTCTTAAAATTTTTCAACTTTTCATTTTGTAATTTTTCGTTTTTTATTTTTGATTTTTAAATTTTACAATTTCTCGACTTCCAAAATTTTCAATTTTTCGGTTTGCATCAGTTTTTCAATTTGGCAATTTTTCAATATTACAGATTTTCATTTTTCGAATTTTCAGTTTCTCAATTTTTAATTTTCCCGATTTTTAATTTTCACGTTTTCGATTTTATATCACAATTTTCCTTTTTTTGGATTTCCTTTATTTTTTGTTGTTTCTTTTGATGTTGCAATTTTTCCTTGATTAAATTTTTCAAATTTTCAAGTTTGATTTTCACTTTGTACATTTTTCAAGTTTTTATTATACACTTTTTAGATTTTTCAATTTTTCGATATTACAATTTCTCATTTTTCCATTTTTCACATTCTCGATTTTTAATTGTGCCCTTTTTCAATTTTCCGTCCCCTCAATTTTTCAACTCCCCGATTTTTATTTTGCATTTTCCTGATTTTTTATTTTTCATTTTCTTGATTTTATATCACAATTTTTTGTTTTTTAATTTCCTTAACTTTTGTTGTTTCTTTCGATTTTCCAATCTTTCGTTTATTCAATTTTTCAAATTTTCAGGCCAATCGATTCCAATTCGTCGATTTTCCAATTTTTAAATTTTGCAGTTTGCAGTTTTCCTGTTTCCACCCCTTTTTTACTTTTTGGATTTTCAATTTTTCGTTAAACTTTAGATTTCTCAAATTTTCGACAGTTTTATACTTCAATTTCTTACTTTTTTTTCAATTTTTCGATGTTTTAATTTTTCTTTTTTAAAATTGTTCAATTTTTTTTATTTCCGGATTTATCGAATTCAGATGTTTGAATGTTTTGATTGGTCAATTTCTCAATTTTTTTCTATTTCTCGATGTTTCGATTTTTGGATTTCTCGGTTTTTCGATTTTCCAATTTTTCGATGTTTCTCTTTTTCAGTTATCCGACTTTTCAATTTTTTAATTTTTTTTAATTCTGGAGTTTCGATTTATTTTTTTTTATTTCTCGATTTATCGAATTCAGATGTTTGGATGTCTTGATTGTTCAATTTCTCAATTTTTTTCTATTTCTCGATGTTTCGATTTTTGGATTTCTCGGTTTTTCGATTTTCCAATTTTTCGATAATTCGCTTTTTCAGTTATCCGATTTTTCAATTTTTTTAAATTCGGGAGTTTCGATTTGTCGATTTTTCAGTTTTTCGATTTTTAAGTTTTAGATTTTCGAATTTTTCTTTTTTGATTCTTTGATGTTAGGATTTTTCAATTTTGCGATATTTCAATTGTTGTATGTTTATGTTTTAAATTTTAGATTTTTGGATTTCTGGATTTTTTGATTTTCTAGTTCTTCAGTATTTCTATTTTTCAATTTTTTGAGAATTCGATTTATCGAGATTCGGATGTTTCGATCTTTTGATTGTCTCAGTTTTTGAATTTTTCGGTGTTTCGATTTTTCGTTTTTTTACTTTTCGACTTTTCGATTTTTTAATTTTCCAATTTTTAAAATGTTCAAGTTTTGACGTTTCTGAATTTTCAGTTTTCCGATTTCTCAATTAATCTATTTTTCGATTTGCAATTTTTTAATTTTGCAATTTTTCGATATTACAGTTTCTCATTTTTCGATTTTTCACATTCTCAATTTTTAATTTTTGTCATTTTTAATTTTTCGTTTCCTCAATTTTTCAAGTTATCGATTTTTATTTTTCATTTTCCCGTTTTTTTTAATTTTCATTTTCTCGATTTTATGTCAGAAATTTTCATTTTTTCAATTCCTTTATTTTTGTTGTTTCTTTCGATTTTTCAATTTTTCGAATTTTCAGTTTCTCAATTTTTCGTTTCCAGAATTTTTCATGTTCCCGATTTTTATTTTTCAATGTGGCGAATTTTTAATTTTTATTTTCTCGATTTATATCACAATTGTCCGGTTTTTCATTTGTTCAATTTTTCAAATTTTCAGGCTCTGAATTTTCAGTTCGTCCATTTTTCAATTTTTAAATGTTTCACTTTGCAGTTTTTGAATTTCCAGTCTTCCGATTTTCCAGTTTCTTTAATTTTAAATATTTCTATTTCATAATGCATATTTCTTTTTTTTATTTTTCACTTTTTCGATTCTTCAAATTTTTCAAGTTTTCATTTTGTAATTTTTCGTTTTTTGGATATTTCGTTCAATTTTGTGAGTTTTCTCAGTTTTTCGATTCTTCAATTTTTCAATTTTGGGATTTTTTAGTATTTCGACTTTTGGGTTTTTCACGTTTTGGATTTTTCGATTTCTCGACTTTTTACTTTTTGGATTTTCAATTTTTCGAATTTTCAATTTCTCAATTTTTCGTTTCCAGAATTTTTGATGTTCCCGATTTTTATTTTTCAATGTGGCGAATTTTTAATTTTCATTTTCTCGATTTATATCACAATTGTCCGGTTTTTCATTTCCTTTATTTTCTGTGTTATTTTTTCGATTTTACAATTTTTCATTTGTTCAATTTTTCAAATTTTCAGGCTTTGAATTTTCAGTTCGTCCATTTTTCAATTTTTAAATTTTTCACTTTGCAGTTTTTCGATTTCCAGTCTTCCGATTTTCCAATTTCTTTAATTTTAAATATTTCTATTCCATAATACATATTTATTTTTTTTTGATTTTTCACTTTTTTGATTCTTAAAATTTTTCAAGTTTTACATTTTATAATTTTTAGTTTTTTCTTTTTGATTTTTCAATTTTACAATTTCTCGACTTCCAAAATTTTCAATTTTTCGGTTTGCATCAGTTTTTCAATTTGGCAATTTTTCAATATTACAGATTTTCATTTTTCGATTTTTCAGTTTCTCAATTTTTAATTTTCCCGATTTTTAATTTTCACGTTTTCGATTTTATATCACAATTTTCCTTTTTTTGATTTCCTTTATTTTTTGTTGTTTCTTTCGATTTTGCAATTTTTCCTTTATTGAATTTTTCAAATTTTCAGGTTTTTAGCAATTTTTCTTCAAATTTTCAAGTTTGATTTTCACTTTGTACATTTTTCAAGTTTTTATTATACACTTTTTAGATTTTTCAATTTTTCGATATTACAATTTCTCATTTTTCCATTTTTCACATTCTCGATTTTTAATTGTGCCCTTTTTCAGTTTTCCGTCCTCTCAAGTTTTCAACTCCCCGATTTTTATTTTGCATTTTCCTGATTTTTTATTTTTCATTTTCTCGATTTTATATCACAATTTTTTGTTTTTTAATTTCCTTAATTTTTGTTGTTTCTTTCGATTTTCCAATCTTTCGTTTATTCAATTTTTCAAATTTTTAGGGCAATCGATTCCAATTCGTCGATTTTTCAATATTTAAAATTTTTCAGTTTGCAGTTTTTGGGTTTCCACCCCTTTTTACTTTTTGGATTTTCAATTTTTCGTTAAACTTTAAATTTCTCAAATTTTCGACAGTTTTATACTTCGATTTCTTAATATTTTTTTCAACTTTTCGATGTTTTAATTTTTCTTTTTTGAAATTTGTCATTTTTTTTTATTTCTCGATTTATCGAATTCAGATGTTTGGATGTTTTGATTGTTCAATTTCTCAATTTTTTTCTATTTCTCGATGTTTCGCTTTTTCAGTTATCCGATTTTTCAATTTTTTTAAATTCTGGAGTTTCGATTTGTCGATTTTTCAGTTTTTCGATTTTTAAGTTTTAGATTTTCGAATTTTTCTTTTTTAATTCTTTGATGTTTGGATTTCTCCATTTTGCGATATTTCAATTGTTTAATTAAATTTTAGATTTTTCTATTTTTGGATTTTTTGATTTTCCAGTTCTTCAGTATTTCTATTTTACAATTTTTCAAATTTTGAGGTTGCTAAATTTTCAGTTTTCCGATTTTTCGATTAATATATATATTTTTTTATTTTCCCGCTTCTCGAATTCGCAGTTTCAATTTTTCAGTTCTTCAATTCTTCGTTTTTCGTTTTTTAAACTTTAGATTGTTCAATTTTCGACTGTTTTATATATATTTCGATTTGTGAATTTTTCGAGTTTTCAGTTCTTGTATATTTTAATTTTTCTTTTTTCCGATTTTTCAATTTTTTGAGAATTCGATTTATCGAGATTCGGATGTTTTGATTGTCTCAGTTTTTGAATTTTTCGATGTTTCGATTTTTCGTTTTTTTACTTTTACAATTTTTAAAATTTTCAAGTTTTGACGTTTCTGAATTTTCAGTTTTCCGATTTGTCAATTAATCTATTTTTTGATTTTCCCATTTTCGACTTGCCAAGGTTTCGATTTTTCAGGCTCCAGATTTTTCAATTTTTCGATTCTTTAGGTTTGCAATTTTTCGGATTTTCGATTTCCCAATTTTTCAATTTTTTAATTTCCCAATTTTTGGATATTTCGTTCAATTTTGTGAGTGTTCTCAGTTTTTCGATTCTTCAATTTTGGGATTTTTTTAGTATTTCGACTTTTGGATTTTTCGATTTCTCGACTTTTTACTTTTTGGATTTTCAATTTTTCGTTTTTTGAACTTTCGGTTTTCACAATCTTTCAACTTTTCCATATTTTAAGTTTTCAATTTTTAAAATTTTAAGTTTTTCGATCTCTCGACTTTTCAGTTCTATATGTATTTGAATTTGTTTTCAATTTTCGAAATTTAAAGTTAATTATAAGTTACTTTTTTAACAGACACGTTAGAAGAACACGAACAAAAACCGAGTAAGATACGGTATTAATAAAAATACAGGGTCGGCAATCCAGCTCAAAACAAATGTCAATCAAAGCACTGACAGACAAAAAACTAAATCATCAAATCAGTTTATCCAACTTAAAGAAAAATATCAAAGCCTACTTTACTATATAAAGATCGTGAATGGATAATATCAACCAAGTTCTGTTATAAATTTGCTGCAGCTCGTTGAAGACGTCGCAAAATCTAGACACTGTGTCTAAGCTACCATGTGACAAAATATTACTGGAAACAGACTGCCCTTGGTGTGAAATCCGACCCACTCATGCTGGATTTTCTTTCATAAACAAAGACAATCTAGCCACTAGTGTCACAAAAAAAGAAAAGTGGAAACCTGACCACATGGTAAAAGGTAGAAATGAGCCAAACAATATCAGGTGTGTTTTGTATTACAAATATTTATTTTACCCATTACTGAACAAACATTTCAGACAAGTTTTAGACGTTATTGCTTCTGTTAAAAAGGAAGATCCGGATAAGTTGTGTGAACTAATTTATGAGAATACACAGAAGTTATTTTTTGCAAATACAAACAACTAATGGTAAACAAAAATATATTAATTAACTTCCAAGTGAAAAGTAATAAATATAAATATAAAAAAGGACATTGTAAAAATTAACAACCATAGCCTAATCCCACAATGAAGTAGTTTTACACAAGTCTTTATTACATAAAAACAACTTCACAGCCCTATTTGATCGCACTTTGTACCTTTTCATATAACCAATGATAGTACTCTGACGCTTTGTGTTGTGTTGTATTGAAGGCTTCAATTACGACTTTTTGCATGTTCTCTGGTGATAATTGCCCACTGTAATAAAGTGTGACATCACGAAATCGTGACAATCTCAAACTTAAAACTTACACAAACACTTCCTTCTGTAAATAATCAACACTCTTGTTGAAATAAAATATAGATGAAGACCAAGCGCTTCTCACTGCATTTTGTGAATGTTCCACAAAACCTGGAGCATATGATTCAATCTAAAAAAAAATTCTTTACAATTACTGTATCAATATTAAATCAGCTTACTGATTGTAACACAACAGGATATTTTTCTTGTACAACTTCATTGATGTTAAGAATTATATTGTAAAAAACACGTCCCAAATTCCTGCTTAAATCAACATATGGTGTTGAAAATTCAATGACAGTTTGGCGTTGTGTGGGAAAGTTGTCTTCGATTTGTTGGTCTATTAACAACAAGCCGTGATGAAATTTGTCCTGTATTACATGAACATATTCACACACTCCATACTGCTTAAGAATCCGGTTTGTATTAGACTCTACAAATAATTATTATTACCTCAATTCAGTGTGATTATGTGATTATACTTTGCCAACTTCCTTTCTGTTTAACGTCAAGGTAGATAAAGCTTCCCACTGTCAAGCAAATTAGGATAAAAAGAAATTTGAAGCTGGAACGGGACTTTTTCTTCTCAGTCATTTTCTCCAGTAATTTCTAAAACAAAACAGCTGTCATTGGACGTGAATTCACACCAAGTATGTTGAACTTTAAAACACACAAATACAATTCTAGAAATTAAATTAATACATAATTAATTAAGTCGAAACTGTTTACGCGCTCTACAAATTAAATACCAAATATATTTACACCAAAGTTCTAATTTCACCCAAACAAAATTTTACACCAAAAACACGAAACTCGAAGATTTTTTTGTTTTTTGATATTTAATCTGTCACAACAAAACGATGTTCGTTGCCGTTGCTGTCAATATCAAGGCTGCGTAGAAGACACGCGCATAACAGGGAATAATCATGCGTGCGGCGAGAATGTTAAACAAACGAGATAAAAAGGACATTGTTGACAGTCAGTTTTGTTAATTATAAAAAAAAATCCACTATAATTATTCTAAATTAGTCGTTCAAACATTTTAATGACGTCAGTTTTATGATAAAAAATTGGCACATACATTATGCATGTATTCAAATATTGAGAAACATAAATTAAGATTCCTTTTGCCAAGGTTCCATTAAAATTAGAAAAAACTCCTCTGTTATTAGGTAGTGCAATTTGTTTTTAAAACAACGATGTTGGTATTACAACTGCTTGATTCTTTAGTTTTTTAATTTTTCAATTTCGTGTTTTTTTATTTTTCAGCAAATTTATCCCAACTAAAATATTGGAAAATCGGAAAATTGTCTCATTGAAACAATGAGGAATACAAAAATTTTAAATTGAAAAATTGGAAAAACGAAAAATTTTAAAATCCCGGCATTGAAACATCCAAAAATCGAAAAACGAAACAATTTTGCAATTTTTCGATTTTAAAGTTTTCAAGTTCTTGATTTTCAATTTTAATCGAAATAAAATTTTTCAAAATCGAATTACTGTAACACCGAAAAATTAAATTTTCGATATAATATTTTTCAAATTCTCGATTTATCATTTTTTTATTATTCAACAAAAGGACAAATTTATTCAAACCGAAATTTTGCAAAATTTTAAAATCAGAAAATTGTAACATTGAAACGTCTAAAAATTATAAAATTGAAAAATCAATAATAATCAAAATTGAAAAAACAATTGAAAAATCGAAAAATTGTAATGTAGAAACCTGAAAACTCTAAATTAAATTATAATCAAAAATACAAAAAATTTTAATTCCAAAATCCAAAGATTTTAAAATGAAACTTGAAATATCGAAAAATTGAAAAATCTAAAAATGAAAAAATTGAGAAATTGAATTGGATATTGAAAAATCGAAAAATTGTAATATAGAAACCTGAAAACCCTGATTAATTAAAAATCGAGAAATTGAAAAATTGAAAAAACGAAAAACAGAAAACTCTAAATTAAATTATAACCAAAAATACAAAAAATTTTAATTCCAAATTCCAAAGATTTTAAAATGAAACTTGAAATATCGAAATATTGAAAAATCTAAAAAGAAAAAATTGACAAATTGAATTGGATAATTGAAAAATCGAAAAATTATAATATTGAAACCTGAAAACCCTGATTAATTAAAAATCGAGAAATTGAAAAATTGAAAAAACAAAAAACAAAAAACTCTAAATTAAATTATAATCAAAAATACAAAAAACTTTAATTCCAAAATCCAAAGATTTGAAAATGAAACTTGAAATATCGAAAAATTGAAAAATGTAAAAATGAAAAAATTGAGAAATTGAATTGGATAATTGAACAATCGAAAAATTGTAAGATAGAAACCTGAAAACCCTGATTAATTAAAAATCGAGAAATTGAAAAATTGAAAAAACGAAAAACAAAAAACTCTAAATTAAATTATAACCAATAATACAAAAAATGTTAATTCCAAAATCCAAAGATTTTAAAATGAAACTTGAAATATCGAAAAATTGAAAAACCTAAAAATGAAAAAATTGAGAAATTGAATTGGATAATTGAAAAATCGAAAAATTGTAATATAGAAACCTGAAAACCCTGATTAATTAAAAATCGAGAAATTGAAAAATTGAAAAAACGAAAAACAAAAAACTCTAAATCAAATTATAATCAAAAATACAAAAAATTTTAATTCCAAAATCCAAAGATTTTAAAATGAAATTGAAATATCGAAAAATTGAAAAATCTAAAAATGAAAAAATCGAGAAATTGAATTGGATAATTGAAAAATCGAAAAATTATAATATAGAAACCTGAAAACCCTGATTAATTAAAAATCGAGAAATTGAAAAATTGAAAAAACGAAAAACAAAAAACTCTAAATTAACTTATAATCAAAAATACAAAAAATTTTAATTCCAAAATCCAAAGATTTTAAAATGAAACTTGAAATATCGAAAAATTGAAAAATCTAAAAATGAAAAAATTGAGAAATTGAATTGGATAATTGAAAAATCGAAAAATTGTAATATAGAAACCTGGAAACCCTGATTAATTAAAAATCGAGAAATTGAAAAAACGAAAAACAAAAAACTCTAAATTAAATTATAGTCAAAAATACAAAAAATTTTAATTCTAAAATCCAAAGATTTTAAAATGAAACTTGAAATGTCGAAAAATTGAAAAATGTAAAAATGAAAAAATTGAGAAATTGAATTGGATAATTGAAAAATCGAAAAATTGTAATATAGAAACCTGAAAACCCTGATTAATTAAAAATCGAGAAATTGAAAAAACGAAAAACAAAAAACTCTAAATTAAATTATAATCAAAAATACAAAAAATTTTAATTCCAAAATCCAAAGATTTTAAAATGAAACTTGAAATATCGAAAAATTGAAACATCTAAAAATGAAAAAATTGAGAAATTGAAGTGGATAATTGAAAAATCGAAAAATTGTAATATAGAAACCTGAAAACCCTGATTAATTAAAAATCGAGAAATTGAAAAAACGAAAAACAAAAAACTCTAAATTAAATTATAATCAAAAATACAAAAAATTTTAATTCTAAAATCCAAAGATTTTAAAATGAAACTTGAAATGTCGAAAAATTGAAAAATGTAAAAATGAAAAAATTGAGAAATTGAATTGGATAATTGAACAATCGAAAAATTGTAAGATAGAAACCTGAAAACCCTGATTAATTAAAAATCGAGAAATTGAAAAATTGAAAAAACGCAAAACAAAAAACTCTAAATTAAATTACATATAATCAAAAATACAAACAATTTTAATTCCAAAATCCAAAGATTTTAAAATGAAACTTGAAATATCGAAAAATTGAAAAATCTAAAAAGAAAAAACTGAGAAATTGAATTGGATAATTGAAAAATCGAAAAATTATAATATAGAAACCTGAAAACCCTGATTAATTAAAAATCGAGAAATTGAAAAATTGAAAAAACGAAAAACAAAAAACTCTAAATTAACTTATAATCAAAAATACAAAAAATTTTAATTCCAAAATCCAAAGATTTTAAAATGAAACTTGAAATATCGAAAAATTGAAAAATCTAAAAATGAAAAAATTGAGAAATTGAATTGGATAATTGAAAAATCGAAAAATTGTAATATAGAAACCTGGAAACCCTGATTAATTAAAAATCGAGAAATTGAAAAAACGAAAAACAAAAAACTCTAAATTAAATTATAGTCAAAAATACAAAAAATTTTAATTCTAAAATCCAAAGATTTTAAAATGAAACTTGAAATGTCGAAAAATTGAAAAATGTAAAAATGAAAAAATTGAGAAATTGAATTGGATAATTGAAAAATCGAAAAATTGTAATATAGAAACCTGAAAACCCTGATTAATTAAAAATCGAGAAATTGAAAAAACGAAAAACAAAAAACTCTAAATTAAATTATAATCAAAAATACAAAAAATTTTAATTCCAAAATCCAAAGATTTTAAAATGAAACTTGAAATATCGAAAAATTGAAACATCTAAAAATGAAAAAATTGAGAAATTGAAGTGGATAATTGAAAAATCGAAAAATTGTAATATAGAAACCTGAAAACCCTGATTAATTAAAAATCGAGAAATTGAAAAAACGAAAAACAAAAAACTCTAAATTAAATTATAATCAAAAATACAAAAAATTTTAATTCTAAAATCCAAAGATTTTAAAATGAAACTTGAAATGTCGAAAAATTGAAAAATGTAAAAATGAAAAAATTGAGAAATTGAATTGGATAATTGAACAATCGAAAAATTGTAAGATAGAAACCTGAAAACCCTGATTAATTAAAAATCGAGAAATTGAAAAATTGAAAAAACGCAAAACAAAAAACTCTAAATTAAATTACATATAATCAAAAATACAAACAATTTTAATTCCAAAATCCAAAGATTTTAAAATGAAACTTGAAATATCGAAAAATTGAAAAATCTAAAAAGAAAAAACTGAGAAATTGAATTGGATAATTGAAAAATCAAAAAATTATAATATTGAAACCTGAAAACCCTGATTAATTAAAAATCCAGAAAGTGAAAATTTGAAAAAACGAAAAACAAAAACTTCTACAAATTAAACAATCAAAAATACAAAAAAAAAAATAATTCCAAAATTCAAAAATCTTAAAATGAAAACCGGAAAACTAAAAAATAAGAAATTCTGAAAACGCTACATGAAAAAATGAAAAAATTGTAACATCGAAAAAACGATGACACTGAAAAACCGAAAAATTGAAAAGTTGAGAAATCGAAGAATTGAAAAAATACAGAAACTGAAAAATCGGAAAATGGAAAAGCCAAAACTTGAATAATAAAAACCCTAATAATTATTTGAAAAAAGTGAAAAATTAAAAATCGGCAAATTTAAAAATGAAGCAATTACAAAATTGTAATTTGAAAAAAAAAATTAAAAATGGAAAAATTGAAGAAATGAAAAATTGAAAACCAAAAATTGAAAAACCAAACTTGAAATATCGAGAAATTGAAAAAATTGGCAAACTGAAAATTGGGTAACAAAAAAACAATTAAAAAATGGAACAACTGAGAAAAAGATAGAAACTGCAAAATCGAAAATTTGTAACATTGAAACCTGAAAAAGTGATAAATTAAAAATTGAGGAATTGAAAAATCGAAAAAAATTAGAAAATTCAACAGGTAGAAAATCGAAAAGTTAAAAAGCAAATTAGTAAATCGAAAAATTAAAATATCTACAAATTAAAAAATCGAAAAATACAAAAATTTTACTGAAAAATGCAACAATTTTATAATGAAAATCGAAAAACTAAAAAACGGAGACATCGAAACACAGAAAAATCGAAAAATTATCAATTAAGAAAACGAAAAACATAAAAATCTCGAATTGAGAAATCAAAAAATCGAAGAAACAAAATAATTGGAAGTACTTTATTTCTAATTTTTAATTTTCTCAATTTTTCGTTTTTTAATTTTTCACCAAAAGGACAAATTCATTAACACTGAAATTTTAAAAAAAATCAAAAAATCGGAAAATTGTAACGCTAAAAAATTGAAAAATCAAAAAATTAAAAACTGAAAAATCGAAAAAAAAAATACTGAAAACCAAACAATTTAAAAATGTTAAAACAATTGAACTATCGAAAATTTGTAATAGTGAAACCTGAAAACCCTGATTAATTAAAAATCGAGAAAGTAAAAAATTGAAAAAACGAAAAACAAAAACTTCTATAAATTAAACAATCAAAAATACAAAAAAAAATAATTTCAAAATTTTAAAATTTTAAAAATGAAAACCGGAAAACTAAAAAATTAAGGAATTGTAAAAACGCTACATGGAAAAATAAAAAAATTGTAAAATACAACAGATAGAAAATCGAAAAGTTAAAAAGCAAATTAGAAAATTGAAAAATTAAAATATCTACAAATTAAAAAATCGAAAAATTATCAATTAAGAAAACGAAAAATATAAAAATCTCGAATTGACAGTCCAAAAAATCAAAGATACAAAATAATTTGGAATTATCTACTTGGAAGTACTTTATTTTTAATTTTTTATTTTCTCAATTCATCTTTTTTTAATATTTTAACAAAAGATCCAATTTATTAAAACTGAAACCCAACAATTTAAAAATTGAGATATCGAAGAATTGAAAAAATAAGGACACTCAAAATCGAATAATTAAAATGTTAAAACAATTGAAAAATCGAAAAATTGTAAAATTGAAACCTGAAAACCTTGATTAAAAATACAAAAATTTTAAAATGAAACTTGACATATCGAAAAATTGAAAAATCGAAAAATGAAAAAATTGAGAAATTGAATTGGATAATTAAAAATTCGAAAAATTGCAATAATGAAACCTCAAAAGCCTGATTAATTAAAAATCGACAAAACGAAGCAATTCTGCAATTTTTCGATATAAAATTTTTCAAATTCTTGATTTTTAATTTTTCTTTTTTGTCGATTTTTCATTTTTTAATTGTTCAACAAAGGACAAATTCACTCAAACTGAACTTTTGAAAAACCGAAAAATTGTAACACTGAAACATCAAAAAACAAAACAATTAAAAATCGAGAAATTGAAAAATCGACAGAAACAATTCTGCAATTTTTCGATATAAAATTTTTCAAATTCTCGATTTTTGTCTTCATTTTCTCGATTTGTCATTTTTTAATTGTTCAAAACAAAAGGACAAATTTATTCAAACCGAAATTTTGAATTGAATTGACAAATCAAAAAATTGAGATATCGGAGAATTGAAAAAATAAAGAAAACTTGAAAAAACCGAAAAAATGGGACTTCAAAAATTGAAAAATGAAACTGGAAACATCGAAAAATTTAAAAATTGAAAAATCGAAAAATGAAAAAATTGGGAAATTGAACAATGGGATAATTAAAAAAACAATTGAAAAATCGAAAAATTGTAATATTGAAACCTGAAAACCTTGATTAATTAAAAATCGAGAAAGTGAAAAATTGAAAAAACGAAAAACAAAAACTTTTATAAATTAAACAATCAAAAATACAAAAAAAAATTTCAAAATTCAAAAATTTTTAAATGAAAACCGGAAAACTAAAAAATTAAGAAATTGTAAAAACGCTACATGGAAAAATAAAAAAAATGTAACGTCGAAAAAAAGAAACACTGAAAAACCGAAAAATTTAAAGTTGAGAAATCGAAGAATTGAAAAATACATAAACTGAAAAATCGGAAAATGGAAAACTCAAAACTTGAAAAATAAAAACCCTAATAATTATTTGAAAAAAGTGAAAAATTAAAAATCGACAAATATAAAAATGAAACAATTACAAAATTGTAAATTTTATGAAAAATCGAAAAACCCAACAATTTAAAAACTGAGATATCGAAGAGTTGAAAAAATAAAGAAACTCAAAATCGAATAATAATTAAAATGTTAAAACAATTGAAAAATCCAAAAATTGTAATATCGAAACCTGTCAACCCTGATAAATAAAATCGAGAAAGTGAAAAATTGTATACAATCAAAAATACAAAAAAAAAAAAATTAATTTCAAAATCCAAAAATTTTAAAATTAAAATCGCAAAGCTAAAAAATTTAAGAAATTGTAAAAAAGAAACATCGAAAAATTGTAAGATCGAAAAGACGAAACACTGAACCGAAAAATTTAAAAACCGAGAAATCAAAGATTTGAAAAAATACAGAAATTGAGAAATATCGGGTAATTGAAAAGCCACTTGAAAAAACTCCTAATAATAATAATTAATAATTGAAAACAGTGAAAAATTAAAAATGAAACAATTACAAAATTGTAAATTTGAAAAAAAAAACGTAAAATCGAAAATTTGTAACACTGAAACCTTAAAAATTGAGAACTCGAAAAAATGTAAAAACAAAACACGGAAAAATCGAAAAATTAACAATTAAAAAAAAACAAAAATTTAAAAATTTCGAATTGAGAAAATAAAAAATCGAAGAAACGAAACAACTTGGAATTACCATACATAGTTGGAAGTACTTTATTTTTCATTTTCCCAATTTTTCGTTTTTAAATTTTTCAACAAAAGGACAAACTTATTAAGAGTGAAATTTTAAAAAATCAAAAAATCGAAAAAGAAACATTGAAAAACCGAACAATTAAAAAACTGAGAAATCGAAGAACTGCAAAAATAAAGAAACTCAAAATCGAATAATTAAGAGGTCAACAATTGGAAAAAGAAAAATTGAAAAAATGAAAATTTAAAAAACAGAAAAATCGAACAAATGCAAAATAGAAAAAACGAAACTTGAAACACCGAGAAATTTAAAAATTGTAATCTTAAAACTTGAGAAACTGAAAACTTCGATAATTGAAAAAACAACTGAAAATTTGAAAAATTGGAAAAAGAAACTGTAAAATCGAAAAACTGATTAATTAAAAATCGAGAAATAGAAAAATACGGAAAACAAAATTTTCTAGAAATAGAAAAATCGACAAATTGTAGAATTCAAAAGTTGAAGAATGTCAAAATAAACATCGAAAAACTGTAAAATTAAAAAATCGAAAACTAAAAAATTGAAAAAAAATGAAACATTGAACAATAAAAAAAATTGAAATATGTACCGAAATGTTGAAAAAATAGCGAAAAATAAAAAATCGGATAACGAAAAAATCAACAATCGAAAAATCAAAAAATAAAAATATCTTAAAATCGAAAAATCGAAAAAACGAAAAACTGTCAAACTAAACAAATAACACATTAGCGTTGTCAACATCATTATTTTAAATGATTTGATGATCAATAAAATAAATTCGCTCATTTATCAATTTTTTTGAGACGATGGATGTCATCAAGTTTTTGGAGAGGATAAGCATACATTTTGTACACGAAAAGCGTTTATTGCAAATCCTACTTGTTATTACTGTTCAATACTTACTTTAGCAATGCGAATGGTCTCAATTAGTCCGTCGTCTTTCTTCTTTTTTACTACAAAATCACTATTCGTAGCAGAAACTTGCTTCAAAACTTCTATAAATATTTTCTTATTTAATTGATCAGAAATTGTATTCCAGTTTCGATCTGAAAGGAAAAATAATTATATGAAAATTGATTCTCAAAATAATCAAACAAACAAACAAACTGTTATACCAGTTATCAATGATTAAAGTTCATACTGTGGTCATTCACGTAGTTGGTTGTGTACCCTACCTATTTATAATTGATGGATCGTTTAAAAATAGAAAGAAAATGTTGATTTGATCAATAAAATAAATTGCCTCGTTTATTAATTTTCTGATTCACATTAATTTATGTAGCAAAATTTTGAGATGACGTCATTGCGTTTTGGGGGAGGGGCTAAAAACATACACATTTTGGGATAAATTTTAATTAACCATACGATAACCTTGAATTGAAGATTGGATCGATTGGAGGAATTTTATACATAATTTAAAGATTTCGCATAGACAAGAAACGATAATCAACATTTGTTTGTTCATCGCTACCACAATTTCAGAATTTTACTTGTTGTACAGATTTCGAAAATGTACCCAAGTTAAGTAAGAGTTTTTAATTAAACATTGATAGATAATAAATTCTAAAATAAAGAAAACAGAAAACAAGTTTCTCTGAAATCTCGTAAATACCGGTTGTCTGGAAAATGGCGGATTAACTTTCAGTACGTTATGTAGGGTACGTGATTTTATAAAAGTAAAATTGGCAACACTGCATGCACCTAATGACGGAAATCGACCTGGTGTTCTGAAATAGATCTGTAAGATTGGTAGCCATGACGAGAAATGTCAGCTGAATGTCAGTGGCAAATGTCAAATTAAAATTTCCCGTATTTCGAGAGGCGTAAGGACTTCACTAACTTCTTCACAAGACATTTTAACCAATTTTAACTTGCAAAAACTCGAATTGATTCGAATTACAGTTGTTGTTGTGAAAATTCAACCACGACAAAATTCCCCAGATTTGAAAAAACGCAAATTTCAATTAAATTTTGCGAAAAAACGTGCGCGGTAGAAAAAATAGTGTAAATAAGTCGTTCATAAGGTCATTGTGGCACTCATCCTTTATATAACTCACGGCTTCACCGCTCGTTCTATAAACTTGGATTCGTGCCTCAATATTTGCCTTATGAAACTCGTTCTTTAATATACTATAATAAAACAAGCTGTTATTTTTCATTAATAAATAAACCAAAAAAAAAAATTCATAAGACATTTATAAATTATAAACAAAAACAAAACCAACAAAAGAAAAATTCATTAAAGCATAACCAACTAAACACTAGAAAAGATGTTGAAAATTCCTGCCTTGTAAACTTTTTTTTGTAAAAGTTGGTCATCAGTGCTTGCTAAGAAAAAAACTGATTTTGGCCAATGACGCACCCTCTGAGAAAAGAGAGGGTGGGTGGGTGGGGCTAGTACTTGGTAAGATAAGAGTAATTTTGGCAAATAAGATACCCTTTAAGAAAAGAGAGGGTGGGTGGGCGGGGCTAGCACCTGGTAAGATAAGAATGACATTGGCAAATGAGATACTATCCAAAAAAAGAGAGAGCGGGTGGGCGTAGCTAGTACTTGGTAAGATAAAAGTGATTTTGACAAATGAGATGCCTTCTAAGAAAAGAAAGAGTGGGTGGGCGGGGCTAATACCTGCTAAAATAAGACCGACTTTGGCAAATGACATACCCTTTCAGAAAGGAGAGAGTGGGTAGGGGTAGTAGCTGTTAAAATAAAACTGACTTTGGTAAATGACATACTCTCTAACAAAATAATTTGGCACACCAGTCTTATCTTTGCAAGTATTGGCCCCGCCCACCCATCCACCCTTTATTTTCTTAGAAGGTATGTGCATTATCAGTTTTATCTTAGAAAGTACTAGCCCCGCCCACCCACCCTTTATTTTCTTAGAGGGTATGCCATTTGGCAACATCAGTCTTATTTTAACAGATAGTACACCTCCCCCCACCCTTTATTTTCTTAGAGGGTGTTATTTGGGAATATCAGCCTTATCTTGGCAAGCACTAGCCCCGCCCACCCGCCTTTTATTTTCTTAAATTGCTAGTATGTACCTGCTAAAATAAGACTGATTTTGGCTAACGAGATCCCTCCAAGAAAATAGAAGGGTGGGCGGGACCAAAAAAGAAAAGGGAGGGTGGGTGGGCGGGGCTAGTAATTGTCAAGATAAGAGTGATTTTTGGCAAATGACATACCCTGTAAGAGAAGAGAGGGTGGGTGGGCGGGGCTAGTATTTGATAAGATAAAACTGATATTGTCAAATAGTATAGCCTCGAAGAAAATAAAGGGTGGGTGGGCGGGGCCAATACTTGCCAAGATAAGACTGATTTTGGCAAATGAGTTACCCTATAAGAAAATAAAGGGTAAATGAGGGTATATCATTTGCCAAAATCAGTCTTATCTTGGCAAGTCTTGGCCCCGCCCACCCACCCACTCTATAAATAATAAAAGTGAAGAATCGGGAAATTGACAAACTGAAAAATTGAAATGTCGAAAAATCGAAAATTTAATAAAAAGAGAAAACAGAAAATCGAAAAATTCTAAAATCTAGAAATTATAAACCCGAAAAGGGAGAAAGCAAAAAGTTGAAGAATTCATTCTAGTACCAGCTAAAATAAGATCGATTTTGGCAAATAACATACCCGGTAAGAAAACAGAGGGCGGGTGGGTGGGGCTACTACCTGTTTAAATAAGATCGATTTTGGCAAATGACATACCCGCTAAGAAAATAGAGGGCGGGTGGGCGGGGTTAGTGCTTGCTAAGATAAGACTGATTTTAACAAATGACTATCCTCTAAAAAATGTAATTAAATTATAATAACAAAAGACACTAGAGGCTCCAAAGCAGTTTCAAATTCTTTCCAAACAGGAATACCTAGAACCTCAAGATTGTTTTAAATTTTTCAAAAAAAAAAAAAACGGAATCTCAAAATTAACTCAAAAACAGGTCAGGTCAGAATTTTCCAAAAATAGAACACCAAAGTCTCCCAAAATTGTTTTTAATAATGTATAAAAAAAATCTCCATGGGTTCCCAAAGTAAAAAATGTGAGGATTTTTTTACTATTTTTCCTAGACTCACCAGTTGATTGTTAAGAGCGTAGAGGAAACTTAATCCACCATTTTCCAGACATCCGGTATTATTGCAAATGTTTCCTCGTCACCCAAGAGGTAATCTACTATTTTGTATCAGAAAAGATTTTTTTAAGTATTCCAATTCATTTGCTGAGTAGTCACTATCACAGGTTACTATGGTGCCCGGCCTAGTTACCTCATCTGACGAGCCGCCACTGCGTTTCAGCGTACAGTTTCGGTCAGAAAATTTTGGGCAGTTCTGTCATTCCAGTGACATAAGCTCTAAAACAGGCTTTACCTACTTATAATCCCAAATGTGGATGATGACGTATGTCAAAATTTATTTTTAGAAGTGTCAATTATTATGACAATAAAGCATAGACTACATCGTGTTTTTTAAATGGCAGAAAAATACTGCACAAAATTTTATGACCGAAACTGTACCATTAATAATCAAAAAGATAAGAGTGAAAAGGTAAAAAAAGGGACGAAAAATTCTAAGGCGAGATAACTCTGATGGTGTCATAAATAACCACATCCAGTCTCAAAAACGGTATTCACGCATTAGGTGCGTGCAGTGTTGCCAATTTTACTTTTATAAAATTACGTTTTTTTTTCGTAATATGTATACATCATAAAGAATTTTTTTATTATTTTTTGGGGATTCGCAAAACTCCCCTACGTAACGTCCTGAAGCGTTAATGCGCCCTTTTCCAGACACCCGGTATATAAAGCAGATAACTCACGGAAAAAAATGACGACCTTCTCAATTTCTGAGTACATGCTTAACTTCGACTGTTTATGTTACTTTGACCGAATTCGACTTTAGCATGTTCAAGATTACAAGCATCAACGGTTAAAAGAAAACAATCTTAAAATATCTTCAGGATTTCACAGCAATCGGTTTTTGCAAGTTAAATTGTAAAATATTGTTATTACAAAAATCTGCGAAGGTAAAAAGTTAACGCGGATTTATAAATCACACATGCAAGACTATGTTATTTTATAAAATTTAAAAAGTATTTGTTGGGTAGAATTCCAAGATGACGTCATAATTTTTTGGGAAGGCCTTATTCGAACAAATTTTGATTGACGATTTATCATCTTTCCTATAACCTTAAAACGTTTGGAATATTTCAGTACATTCGCTTTTGCCGTTTTAAAGTTAAATTATAAAATACAACTTTGTTTTTTTTCCAAAAATCTCGATGTCTAGCTCAACATGGATTCGAAATTACACATACATGGAGTAAATATGTAATTCTATAAAATTTAAGGAACATTTGTTCTGCAAAATTATAAAATGACGTCATCATTTTTTGGGAGGCCATAAACAAAAAAAAATATTAACCATTTACCATGCTTACGATAATCTTAAAAAGCTTGCAAGTTTTCAAAGCATTCGGTTTTTACAATTTCAAAGTTAAATTTTGAACATTTTGAACATTTATTATAAATTCGTTTTCGTTGTAATCTGATCTATTAATAAATTGAGTATCTTTGTCAATTTTTTTTGGTGATTGCTATGACTGCTTATTAAAAAATAAATAAATTGGGCGAAATCGTCTCTGGGGTGTATAACATATACCTAATAAACTATTTTATACTACTTTATTAGGTATATGGTGTATAATATGTTGCCTATGTAAAAATTGTCAGGCGTGAACAGATAAAATGAACACCAAAATGATATATCTTTATATGGTTTTTTATGCGTCTGTTATATTTTTAGCAATATTTATTGCATTTGTAATTGTAACATCCTGGATGTGAAAAATTTAAATAATTGTATAAAAAAAAGTAGACATAAATTTTACTCACCTACATACTGAAGAAGTATGGCACTTGCGGTGGTATTTTTAACAAAAGCTTTACCCCAATGCTCTATACTACTTGGGTCTGTGGTAAATCCTTCAACAATTACGTCACACAGACATTGCTGACACGCATCACTTTCACTGGCAGCTAGTTTTTTTAAATAAATTTCTAGCGAATTCTTGAACGCTTCTTTTTTATTTCCAGAAAAAAGACACGATTTTAAATTAGGTATGGTGTCTACCAAACTCTGCTTCAGATCATTAGGAAAGTTTTTTTTGTTTGAGAAAATCAGTTCCAAGATGAAGAAAAACTGATCTCTGCTGAGCGTGAAGTCATTATTACAACTTATCAAATCCAACAAATATTGAACAACAAATCTGGAATAGTTTTTTAGTTCAATTAACGGTAACATTAATTCCTGAAAAACTAAAGATTTATTACAAAGGGGAAGTCTGGTGAGTGTAGCAAGTAACATACCTTTCAACCCTGCTTCAAAATTACTAATTCCTACTTGGCCAACTGCCCATAAAACAGATAAACCAATGTTAGGGCGATTTTGGTAAGATGTTCTTAAAATACAATGCTTTCCCAAATTTGCAACCACTAAACTGGGTTTATTTATGGCAATGTATTGTAAGATCACTTTATGGCCTACAGCTGGCTGATTTTTACTCATATCTGTGACCATTGATGTCAAAGCAATGTCAAAAAACAGCTGCACATTTGTTTCATTTGCCAAGTGGACAGCCTTTTCAATCACACCAGTTATTGCAGAAGGTACCTACCAACATACCAACATCAAGACACACGACATAAATAAATTAAATGTTATCTTACAATATTCAGTGGAAAATTCCGAGGTTTTTGCGTGAAAACAGGATCTTGCAACTCTATGTTAATTTTCTGGTTTAAAAAGTGGGCCAAATCTTTCAGCCATACAATTGGTGCATCAGGAAAATGTGATCTGCTTTTCTCAAATACATTATTAAATTCCTCCACATCAATCTACAATGAATAACATTAGTAGAATAATGAAATTGTAAAGCATACTTTGTCATACTTGTTTAAGAGCACTTTCTATAGACTTCGGTGCTTTCGACTTTTGTATTTCTACAGGTTTTTCTTGCTTTTTCTGTGTTTTCTTTGCTCCCAAATCCGCACTCTTTTTAACTTCTAGTGGTTTGTTTTCTTTATTTTTATCATTGGAATATAAATTTTTAACCTGCGATTTCGCCACTAAAATCGTTATTCTGTTATTCTCGCTAGATTTACACTTCACAATTTTTTGTAGGTATACTTACAAACATCTTCAACTTTTACAGCGAAATTTTCTATTTTCTTTTTGTTATTTGTTTGTGGCGGTGCAATTTTTTGACTGCCCTTTTCTTTCTTTTTTCCAACTGTTTCCCACTGGCCTGACATTCTTTTAACTAAAAGTTGACTTAAATAAAACTTTTCATTCACTAAGAACTGAAGAAAACTAAATGGAAAACAACGAGAAACGAGTCGGCCTGAAAACTGACAACACACGTTGATATTACAATGCCAATCTGTCAGTGATGTTGGTGACGTATGCAAAGAAACATATGACGTGACGTTTGCAGCCAGCGCGGCAACGTACCGAAAACGTGGAAGCCACATTCAACCGCGTTGCCAGATCGAAAGATTTTTCACCAAATTTTGTAATTTATTATACCAGATGATTTTAATTCTATTTACTAATATTTAAATAATACAACTGATAATTTTTTAACTAATGAGCGTAATGTTTATTAATACCATGTGAAGGCACCCAAATCCTGATTTTTGCAGTTATAAAAACTCAAAATTAAAAGCAATACAATCAATTTTCGTACTGAATTATGCAAGTTAGTGTCTTTGCCATTTCTATTGAAACACCACCTGTTGATTTTGCTTAAAATTTAGCAATTGGTGACGGCTTTCGGTTGATTGATAACAGTTTTTAGTTAGAAAATTGTCTGAATATGAACGTTGCCAAATTTACGATTAACAAGTGGTGTTTCAATAGAAATGGCAAAGACGATAGTGTAATTCAGGAAATATTGTTATTGTTAAAAGAAAACATAAAAATGCCATTAGATTCTTCTAGAGTAAAGTCAAAGTTGCACCCAAAATCGGAAAAGTCGTTTATTTCGAAAAGAAAGGAAATTTGATTTTTGGCTTATTTTGGAAAAAGGCAGTATTGTCACGGATTGTTGATGGAATAATTTTCCAAAACTCATTGCATAACTTAAGGCTCTATCACACCTCAAGAAAATTTCTATTTTAAAAGATATGCAACTTGTAAAACACCCATGCTACCTCGTTATGACAGCTGCCACTCATCTCTAAGGGTTAAAATCGTTCACTTCGTTTACAATACTTAACTAGTTTTATTACTGCTATTGTCAGCGGGGGAAGTGTATCCCGGCTTGCAGGTAGAGCAGAGTAAGGAACTAAAATATTTATCTACTATGAAAGAAAACAAACAATATTTCTTAGCTTACGTTCGAGAAGTAAAAACGCAAAAACACGTCTACTGGTATATAAAAATTGCCATTTTGTAATATTAGTTTCAAAAGTTTTGAGCGATATTTGACAGGTGTATGACGTCATCGATGATTTTTTAAATAGCACCTCCTACCTTTTTTTAGCATAAAGTCCCTTGAAAGAGAATTTTTGATATGCGGTTTAACCTAATTTACTGTCATAAGAAGAGAAAAAAGCCAAATGTGTGTTTTAAAATAAATTAATAAAATCATTGTCAGAGACTGTTGAGATCTTTACTCGCAATACACACAACAAAAAAATGCTTGTTCATATATATAATTCCGACCATAACTCTTTCTCTTATTTTTAAATTCCCGTTTCCATAAAAATTCGTACGTGTTGGGGATATTCTGTAACTAGGTAGAAAAGTAAAATTAAATTTCCAAGAATATTTTATTGTAGGTATGAAGGTTCGTTATTGTGAGTATTTCTTAGTAATCTTGGAATTTTTCAACCCGAAATCTTAGAAATTTAGGTAGGTACATACCTAGTTACCTCTCGGAATGTATTTTGAATGAAGCAAATTGGTGGAAGGTTATTTCAACAGAACTTCTCTCGCCTCTGAAATACAATAAAACAAACCCAGCTTTTTCGAAAAATTATAAAATTTGATTATGCGAAATTTATTTTTTTATGAGAACCCGGATATGTTAAAATTTTGTCCAAAAATTCTAGATGTCTAGGGTGAAAATTCTACACGGATTTACACACCACAAGTGCAGGAGTATCTAATTTTTTCAAATTTAAAAAACTTTGTATTATAAATTTTGGAGATGACGTCATCCCATTGGTGGTGGAGATGATTTTGCCAAATTGTAGTTAGCGTTTAACCATCTACATGATATTTCTAATATACATACAAAATATGGCAATAATCGATCCAGTAGTTTCGGAGAACACTTGTCTAAAAAAAAATGGATACAGACACCAGACAGACAGACAGACGGACATACGAAAACGGGAGACCACTTTTTTCGTACTCTAGAGGTCATGACACGTCGAGAAATTAGTACTGGATGTAGAATTGTTGACATAGGCCACTTATAAACAACACTGAAATCAATCAGTACTTTAGATAATATTGAAATAACTCATGAAAATTGTTATCGTTTAAAAATTGTTTTCTACTATAGAAATTTCATATGTACGGAATATTCGGTAATCTTTGTACTGAACCTGAAAATCATATATACAAAGTCAATTATTCAGCTATTTGTGGAGCTAGATCAACGGTCGTAGGTTATTCTCAAATTTCAGAATTTTGTTCAGCTCTAGATATCCCTCAAAAACCCCAGGCGACATATCGTAAAGCCGAGGCTAGAGTTCTAAAAAGCATCGAAGCACTTTTCGAAGAACAAACCAAAACGCAGGTAAAGAAGAGTACCGATTAGCTGTGAAGGCGAGGGAGGTAGATAATGATTGCGTCCCAAATACTACCGTTAGAATGCACTGTCTGGGGTAGGACGTATAATTGGTGCCAGAACTAAAAAAATGCTTTATGTAGGAGTCAAAAACAAACTTTGTAGCTTCTGTAAAATCTATATGAAACAGAAAAAAGAGCCTTTATAATCTTTGAAGTCTTTGGAAACTTTAGTCTTTAAAATCTTTGGAATCTTTACGGTCTTTAGAGCTTTTACAGTCTTTAGAGCCTTTGGAGTCTTTGGAGTCTCTGAATTCTTTATAGTCTGAAGTCTTTAAATTATTTAGAGTCTTTAGGGTCTTTAGAGTCTTGGCGTTTTGGACGCTTTAGAGGCTTTAGAAGCTTTAGATTCTTTATAATCTTTAGAGTCTTTGAAGTCTTTTGACTCTTTCGACTCTCTGGGGTCTTTGAGTCTTTGGAACACTGGAATCTTCGGAATCTTTAGCCTTTTTCGAATCTTTTTTAAATTTTGGACATTTTAGAATCACTAGAAATTCTGTTATGTCTAGAATTTCAAAGATCTTAGGTGCCTGCAGAATCTTTAAGATTTTGTTAGAGCTTTCTTATATTTAGAACTTTAGAACTTTAATTTCATTAGAATCTTTCGTGTATTTACAATTTGTAAATCCCAATGTAGAAAATTTTTAAGGACTTTAGTATGTGAGAAGTCTTTAGAATCGTTGACAGCTTTGAAACCTTTTGAATATTTCAAACTCTTGAAAATTTTTAGAATCTCTGGTCTCTGCAGAATGCCTGGAATTTTTAGAATTTTCAAATTTTCACCATTTCTTGGATCTTCAGTACCTCCTGAATTCAAAAAATTTCAGATCTTCAGGATTTTTAACACCTTTACAGTTTGAAAAAATCTGGATTCTATAAAGCCGTAGAAAATTGAAGCATATTTGGGACTTTCATAATATTTGAAATTGGTTACATAACAGTGAAATATTTAGAATTTTTATAATTTCCAGAATTTTGAAAATTTCAGATATGATAAAGATATTCCAAAATACACAACAAATGCCCAGAAATTCCGGATTTTTCAAAATATCTAAAACCTCGAGATATGCCAAAATTTTGGAATTCAAGAATTTCTTTATTTACTTTAGATACTTTATAGGAGAATTATAGGCGACGAGGATAGTAGCGTATTAAAAAAAGTTCGGGCTGCAAAACCAAATGATGCATATTATTTTATAGAAAAAATTGAATGTAGAAATCACATACTTCGTAATTATTGTTCCAAAATTAGAGAAATAGTTAAAACAACGAAAGCAGATATCACTATTAAAAATGTTTTTAAAAATACTATTCTAAAATTTAGAACATCTATTATAAGTACTATTAAATTTAGCAAAAATGAGCCTCTTCCTTCTTTTCCAGCATATATTTGGCAATCACGAACAATGTGCAAGTTATTTTTGTTATAAAAGTGGACAGTCAAATGATATTTTAATTTCTACTTTCGCAAATGGTGTTTTATACGAACCTTACAAACAAGTTTTAAATAGAATTGCAACTTTGTCGTCTAGTTTACTTTTTGATATTGAGAACAATGCTGTGGAATGCTACAATTCTGTCGTTAATAAATTTGTGATAGGAAAAAGAATAAGTTTTTAAGTTTTTCTGCACGAGGATCGTATCAAGGGTGATGCTTTTTTAAGTTAAGTTATAATAATAAGGGTACGTTCCTAATTCCGTTATTCAAAAAAAAAAAAAAAATTGGGGAGGCCAATGTTAGTATACGAAGGCGTTTGTGGAACAAAAATTGAAAAAAACAAAAACGATTAATAAAACTAAAACCTCTATTAAAAAATTGCGTATCCGAAGTCTGGATTCCGGTAAAAATAATATCGTCAACGATGAACAAAGAGTATGAAAGAAAAAAATCGGATTTATTAATAAAGCTGTCACAGAGTAACGTAAATGCTATTGAAAAAGATACTTGTGGTCAGCGAATGTGTAGGGAATGGAGTAATGAAAGGACAAAATGAGAGACGGAATTAACATCGCAAATACCGTTAAAAGTATTGTGCATTCCGATAAAACTTTATGAAAAAATTGCCCAAGTCTATACAATTTGCTATTGACAATGAAGAAAAGGCCAAAGAAAAATTTGAAGCTCTAACAAATTTGAAAAAAAAATTTTAGGAGCTTCTCCAGATGGGTTAATAAATTCTAATTCAATTGCAGAGATTAAATGTTCATATGCGGCTTGCAGTAAAAATATTAAAGAGCTATTAAAAATAAAATCATTAATTTATTGTTCAATAAATGCAGTTATTACAATTACCTAGTTTGAACCCGAACCACAACTATAGGTATGTATCAAGTATAACAGGGTCCAGTGCATATAACTAAAAGATATATATATCCTTCTTAATGCTATTGTCAGGTACTTCAAAGGGTGGTTAAATAAGCTTAAGGTATTTAAAAGGTGCTCTATTGTGTGGGCCATAAATTACAGCTTACCGCCTCAGCTAATATTTTGGGTTGCCTAACTTACCAAAATTTGCCCAAAATGCTTTGCAGTTTTTTTACAATAACGAAAAGAAGTAAAATTTTAACAGAAAACGAAGAATGGCGCCTAAAGTAGAAAAAAA